TAATAATAATAATAATAATAATAATAAGAAACAGAGCAGATACAATAGGGCCTTCGCACTCTCGGTGCTCGGGCCCTAATAAGAATTACGCTCAGAAACACTGACAAAGCCACAAACTGAAATGCATCTTTTTCTCTCTGTTCCTATGAAATATTAAAAGTATAATCAACCACCTGGTCTTAAGGAGGCAGGAGCTAAAATGCTTCTTTTATGGAGTAAAAAACAGGACACTAAACAACCCACAATGAGGAAATTTCATTCTCGTTATTTTCCGATATAGAAGGCTGGCGAGCACCTACGTCACTATTTATGTAGGAATTTCTGTATTTTATTATTTTTACCAGCTTCTGATTGGACTCTTAATGTGATGTGACTTCTTGCGTATATAGGCAGCAACAGATTTACAGTTTTATGATGAAGTTTGATGAAGATTGTGATTTCCACCCGCTGTAACGCTGCGCTGAAACAGCACTTGAATGAGAAATCAGTGAAACAAAGAGGACACGTGTTTCCATCCACATGAACAGATTTTTATATCTTTAGAGCAATAAATATTTCCACTTCTTCCATTTCTCTGCAATTTCAAAAACAAAGTACAAGTAATATATATTTATATACACAGCTAAAATTTTCCATACGTAATTTTTAAAATAATGTCGTCTCTGTTGACACATATTTGACACTTTACTCGTACAATTTTACAAGGACTATTCCAGTCTCTCTTTGCTCTACATTATAAACAAGAAATATGTCCTCTCCAGAAAGCGGTCCAGCAGCTTGGACACGCCCCCCGTCCAACGCCATTGTATAGATGCACACAACACAGACTGTCTTTACACAGGAACAGAATCATCCAACATTTTTTAACTGTACTTGAAGCAGATCTGATGTGCTTTGAATCTTGAAAAATGTTCCCTGTTTGCCTGCTGCAGTCAGACCAGATCTGTTTCTCCAGGTGTTTAAAAAACATCAGACCTTCCATTCCCGATGTAAACTCAGCCACAGACAAACTGAGCAAAGTGAGTACTCGCAATGTTATTTTCATTTAACGGCTGCTATGTACATTCATGTTATAATACAGTTTCATTCAGTGCAGATACTGTAATAAATACCACATGCAAACCGATAGTGGAGAGCAGACCCGGGCAGGAGAAAAAGACCTAATTTAAGCGTTTAAAGGACCATACCTGCTTTTTTTCTGCATGTTCTTAAACTGGATATACTGTAAATTACTTTCACAAGAGTCCCGACGCGGTTTAAGCAGATTTGTGTCCTCCCAGACTGCAAGTTCATGTCTTCACAGACACTTGAATCCTGCTGCAGATAACTAATCAACCACAGTGAGTTTTGTTCTTATCTCTTGCGTGTAAGAATTGACAGCGACCTGACAAAAGCGTTGCACCGACGGCCTTCGATGGTAGCAAAGCAATCCAAGAACTAACAAAAAAAGTGGCCTTGAAACACGAGGAAGCAGATTTTGGCCTAACCCTAACCCACAGACACTTGGCACATGGTGGGCAACGGCTCGCCAGGAAGCCAGGACGTTTATATGTCACCGGTTACTGTTTTGGTCCACAAAGACTAAATCAGCGGTTCTCACAGTTTGGGTGACCAAGTGGCAATTTAGAAAGAATTTAGAAAGCACACAGTTTAAGGCAGTGGAGGCAAAATCTAGCAAACACGAGAGAAATCTAATCTGACACGTGCAGGTGAAGTTTGACACAGCAGTCCAGCAGTGTAACTATTATAGGCTGTTTCCAGTCATGCCTGCCATGGGGCGAATAGACAGTAATCAGCCTGTAGTATATATATATTAAATATATATATATACTTTTTAAAATTTCTTTTTTTTACTGTGGACCTGTTGTAAAACAAACCCAAACAAACAACTGAAATTTCTATAGCGGAAAGTGAAAAAACAGGAACTTTACAATCATTTCTCTGTTTCTTTTATGTAATTACTCTGGTGTAGTGGGAATGGTCTGGCCCCTGGGCCTTACATTTAACACCTCTGACTTAGATCCTTGTTAGATGTTACCAGTGATGAATGATTTATCTGCAGCAAGTGTCAAGTTCAATGCAAGTGAAACTTAAACCGAACAGTGGACATAGGAAGGTAACAAATCTCGACATGGTAGCGCCGTAACACAAAGTAAATACAGTTTGAAGTTCATAAACATGCAAACGAGGGGTATGGAGCTTTAAGATGGGATGTTTACTGAGGATGTGCTTGGGCATGCACTGAGACTGAGTGAAATGCTGTGTATTCCCTTACGAGGTAGGTTTGATCCAGTGTTCCTCGAGAACTTTGTTTTGATGTTTCTGTGGTGTTTGCCGCTTTAGTCTGGAGTCGACGTGGTTACTGTAAGGCCTTTAGAAAGAGACAAAGTCTTTCTGCAGGTGATTGTAGATGCATGCTATGGCCCTACGGTCCAAAAATTCTTAGCAGCTCAACATGAAGTGTTAATTTCAATGTTGTTTGATAGCAGAGGTGTTGCTTGTTTCCATTAAAAGAGTGAAGAGAGGCTTTGTGATGATTCAGTGTGCAGGCGTGTGTTTGCTTGAGCATGCTGTGGGTTGAGTCAAAGTAATTATCACAGTCTATAATCAAAATATTAGAAGAACTTGTATGTCAGTTACAGAAAATCATTATTGTTTTTTTTTTTTAAATATATTAAAATAAAAAGGATTGAATACTTCCATAAGATGCCCAAATCAGAAAAGAAATAAAATCTCACATTATAAGCACATAACAAAATTAAAAATGCTAAAAATACAAAACAGCCCAAGGAGTACAGTATGTTAGTAGAAGCTTGCCACACAACAATATTGATAATAATATTAGTAGCACGCTCTAAAAAGTCAAAGGGGTTCTTCAGATTGAAAACAACAGGGAACCCAAGATGGTTCCCTGAGGAACGCCGTCAAACGATTCCAATATGTGACTGTATTCCCACAAACCTCGCACACTAAGGGCTTTACTGTTCTCACGAAGAAGCCCGAATAGCCCGAAGAACCCAGATGAACTTTGGTTTTTAGAGCACACGTTTTGTTAATTCAAACAATTCTGAACCTCAGTTACAGATTGATGCTGTTGGCCCCACTGAAAATAGAACACACTGTACAGTTAATATCTACAGTTGGTGCATTCACGTCATCACGGGGAGACTAAAAATATGTCGTTAATGTTTGCATTCAGAGGAATTTCCCATCATCCACCAGTTAAACTCTGGCAAATATTTATATGAGGCTGACTAGCAACCAACACTGAAAGTTTCATTTCTAGTCAAAAAATGCAAATGGCTGGTAAAATCGTTCAAGCGGTGGAAGAACTTTCTACCTGACATCCGGTGAGACTGATTAAAGGAAGAAAGGAAATACACTTCAATACTGGCATGGTAGATTTGAACTCAAAGTGCAAAAATGTGTAAAAATGAGTTTGTTCAAGAAGATTTCACTCGGTGTGACACGGAAACATGTTCTGCACTTCAGTCCTGTGAGATGTTAGCGAGTCCTTTGAATGAAATTCGGTCCAGGTTTCAGGCTCCTTTGTGTCTTTGTTGGATGAACAAGGCGACGAGCGGCTCAGTCCTTCAGCCAGACTTTTAAAAAATGCAGTAAATGGCTTCGATTTGCTGTTTTGAATGGACACAAATCATTATATTATTGATTTAGACGCTGAACTGTCTTTTTGTGAGCATTATTATTTATATTGTACCATCACTATGTCTGAAGGCACCTTATTCTCTATTTTGCCACACATCAAATGGGATTAAAGTTGATTCACCCTCCGAGTTTTTCACACGCTAACGCAGTTTGGACTGGGTGGGAAATTAACCCTTATTTTCCATTTATCATATTTTCTCAATTGTTTTATATCTTAGTAAAATAATAGAGAGTTTCTAACTACTGCTGAGAACCCAAGTAAGTGCAGAGGTGAATCTGAGATCAGCTGGATGAGTAGGTTCTTATTTATTTGAATAAAGCTTGCTCCTTGTTACCAGTGTTTTCTACTCATTACATATGAAAACAGGCGTAGGTGCTGAAGCGCCTTAAATCCAATTTATTTCTGACGGCAGTCAGTCAGAGGGCAACTAGTCTGGTTACAAAACAAAGGCCGGCTGTATCAAGTTTATTGGAAAAACACCCTTTGACCCACTTGTCTGAACCTCAGTAAAGACTAACCTGAGTTGCTATATTTAATTCTATGACTCCGTCACACTGGACTAAAACTGGGACTGCAACCTCCTTATGGGAGGCCACCTGTCTCCAAACAATTGCAGTCCGGCTCAGACTGACTGGTGAAGGCTTGTACAGAGACATGTTAATCAGCCCGAGTCAGCCTGTCCTGATAGGCGTACATATTCTGCATCTCTGGTGGCGGTTGCATTCTGGTTAAGCTCCTACACCCGCGTCATTCTGGAGTTAAATCGTCACTACGTCACTACTTGTGAAGGAATTTCTGAATTTCTGTTTCAAATCAATGAGGTTCGACTGTAAGGATTTCATGTGAACTTCTGTGTCTGTCGATGGCAGCAGATTTGCACTGATCACAAACAGATTGCATGTAAACGCCTCATTCAGTCACAGACTGGCAGCAGATCGACCGACTCGTCAAATTGCATTTTTATCGATGTCTGGATGCACCAAAGTTGCGCTGACGATGGCAGCTAGAGACCTGGCCCCCATCTTTGAAACAACCACTTCAAAGGCAACAAGGTCACAAGTGGTGGTGCCACAGTGTAGGAGCTTAGTGTGACTGAAACATTCTTCCAAGCCTCCTCTTCTGCTAAGTGCCAAAGCTAAAGCAAAGTCTTAACCCTTAAACGTGCCTTTAAAGAGTTGTAACAAAGAGAGCGGGACAAGAGGAAGTTCTGATAGTTTAAAAAATCCAGTCTGATTGTCTAAATCTTGTTTATTACAAATGAAACCTGGCGAGTTTTATTGAATTTCGTTTCACTGTCGTCTTTGGTTTGTTGTGACAAATGACTTCAGTCACTCACTCATGCAGTTAAACACACAATCACACATCATGAGTCTGTTCATAGCTGCCAGCTTTTCAAATCAATAACTTTATGATCACCTGCACGCGATGAGTTTAGGGGATGTCAGTAATTGAAAATAAAAAAGTACTCTCCTGAAATAATCTAAATAATATCTGTCTGTGCATCTAAAGACCATCACTTGTATTTCTTTTCTTTACGGCTCTGTCTCCTAATCCTGATTTCAAGGATCTTTATCTGAAGATGTTTAACATAATGTAGTGAAGCCTCATCAGTGATCAACGTTCTGCTGTGAAGCAAAACAAAAAGGAACCAACAGAAATGAAACATTTGAAACTTTTGGTATGTTGTGATGAAGCTTGATTATCAGAATTATTAAACGAGTCTTGCGTCAAAATGTTGGTTTCGTAAAGTAAATTCAAGCCTTTAATTTCCCACCCAGTTCTGTTAAGATGATAAGTTAGAGAGAGAGTTACACCTTATTTAACTTAACCTGAACAGTTACATCGCTTCGTTTAGGTACCGCAGCTCTCATCTCCCTGTCCGGCAGCTTTGGGCCCAATCTCCGTCTGTGGCAACGTAGAGGGTCACATACAACATGGAGCATGAAGTACAGCTGAAAGCTGCAGTATTATATTATCTGAGTATATTATAGCTTGTGACAAATTCAGGCTTATGCTTTCATATATACTTAATAACAAGGGAGAGCATTCACAGGTTTAGCACAAATGATCAAATAAATCCCCGTTACATGAGGAAATAATTGGGAATTTTTTTAAAGTCCCAATCCAAAACAAGAGCATAGCAGTCCCTGCTGAAACCCTGTAATCCACAGACGCTAAAGGCTTTTAGTTATTTTTGCAAAGGTAAAAAGACACCTGGAGTGTTTGTTATGATGGCTTATTTAAAGGTTTTAGAAAGTTTATTGTCCACCTAGACGGTCAAGTGTTCCGTATTCTTCACTTCTTATGGCCAAATAAATGCTGGATTGGGGCTTTAAATCACAACAACTCCCTCCCCCTGCATATAGAAGTTTAACCACAGTCACATTGACACTTATTAGCTATTGCACAGGTCATGCATGCCTGTCTAAGACACAGAAACTGCACCATATTAACGCTAACCACCTCTGCTTGTCCGTAACGCCTCATGGCTTGTAAATATGTCAACAACCAAAACAAGAGTGCTTTTGTGCGGAAAACAAGGTGGTGTAAGACGACTGTGTTTTTTGGAAAACGCGACCCGGACTCGCTTCGTTCTCCGCTCTCTGTACATTATGTCAGGCGTAATCCTTGGGATATATATTCTCAGGCACTGTTCCCTTCACGTCTGGTCCCTGAACCATTTTTTTCCACGACAGCACACAAATTCCTACGATGTGGCACGAACACTTCCCCTGTCGATGAAGAACTACAAATATGTCCTCCCAGCTCACCTCTGAAGGGCACTACGGGGGGAAGATGAGGACGTTTTCACCAAGACATCGGGACAATGTGGGTGTTTTTTCTTCATCTTCACGTGACTGAAAACGGCATGATTCACGTTCTGGATGCTTTTCGCTCCGCGAGCAGCTTTTTCTGGGAGGATCTGCTCCCTGTAAGAAGCATCCGTCAGTGTGTGTGCGTCTTTCTACCTGCGGGGGAAGTGGATGTGGAAATAACACAGGCTGAGAAGTTTCCTCTTCCCCGCTCTCACCGTTCTCCTCCTCACCAGGCGTCCGCTTTCATACGGCTGCATTTGTCCTCCCCCTCCTCCACCTCTCCTCCTCCCTCTCCTGCTCACTACCACCCCCCGGCGGCTCACTGCAGGGTGACGCGCCACTGTCCTGGACTTCTGCCTCCTCACACGACCGTGCTGATCCGGCTGACGGGCTTGGATTTGGGGCCGCCCCCTTGGCCTCCCCCCACCCCCGGGGGGTGCGGGGAGAGCGGGGCGGTTGACGGGGGAGGCAAGGGTGAATGCGGCGGGGGAGGCGGGATGGACGAAAGCGGTGGGTACTGGGGGGTATATGGTTTCGGAGGCGTCTGGGTGACGAGGCGTGCTGAGGGAGTCTGGGGTGGCGGGGTGGAGAAGATGAAGTGGGTGGAGGGGGAGGCGGACGGGGACGGGCTGAGCGGGGAGTGTGTGTGCACGGCGTGGTTGTGAGAGTGTGTGTGAGCGTGGGGGTGGGGCTGCGAGTGCGAGATGGTCAGCGGGAGCTTGGCCCCTCCACCTGGCCTCCCCGCCGCGGGGTGCGAGTGGAAGAGTCCGTGTGGGGTAATGGGGGTGACAGGGGAGTGCGGGGACAGCGGCGGCGGCGTGGTGAAGCCTGACGCTATGTTGTAGCGCGGGTGCGGAATGATGACATGTTGCATCCTCTGATGCTGCTGGGTATGAGAGGGAGCGCAGCCGGACGGGCCTTGCCGTCGGGGTGCGGAGAACCTGTGCGAGAGGACGTGGTGCTGCGGGACGCTCTGCATGTGGTAGCGGTGATGGTGATGGTAAGGTGGGGGCGGTGTCTGCTGCTGCTGGTGCCCAGTAACACTGACTCCGCCTCCTCCACTGTTGGCGTGGCAATACTGGGCGTGCAACGCTTGGAGCTTGGATTGTGCCCCTGCCGTACCGCCTCCCCCTCCAACTCCTCCCGAGTCCGACTGCCCGAGGTTGGGCGATGGGGAGGGGCATGGGGAAGGGGAGGATGGGTGGGGGATGGGAGGCGCGGGGGCGGGGTAGTGGGGGGGTGATGATATCATCAGGGGACTCGGGGGACCCTGTGGAGGGGGTGAGGTCATCGTCAGGGGACCAGGAACTTTGCCTCTGCGACTGCCGAAGAAATTCCCTAGTCGGCCTCCGCCAGTCGGTCCGCCCCCTGCCGGCATCCCTCCGCCGCCCCCAACCCCTCCCCCGCTCGCGAGTGGGGAGGTGGTGACCCCTCCCTGGTTGTGACAGAGCCCCGGCCCACCCCCCACCCCCGTACCGGGGCTCTGAGTAGGGCGGTGTGGCCGGTAGGCTGCTGGAGATGTAGGAACCATGATAGGGCTGTAGGAAAGACCTCCATCAGGCAGAGGGCGCTGCTGGTGAGGCCGGGGGCTGCTAATAATGGAACCCTGAGAAGAAAAGAAGAAGAGTTTAACATACTGGGTCAGCATTTACCTCAGATTCTCACAGACCATCTCATCTTTCTGATGGAAAAAAAACCTTGACATGAATCATGCAGATTTTAGGACAAACGTGCAGAAGAATCACTGAAGAGGTTAAAAAACAGACGATAGAAATGCACACGCTGAGCTCCTGAAGGTAACGTGTAACCTGCTTTTCTGCCACAGAGGAAAGTAATTATTGATGACTGAAAGATAGATCACGAAGGCCTGCCAATCAAAGCAGCCATGCACCAGATAATTGAAGTGTTAAGACGTAACAAAATCCAAAGGGACGAGCGTCTAAAGAGCCTCAAGTGGCCACTAGAGGAACAGCAGTTTTGCGTCTTCTCTTCAGTCTTGTAATCCCAAGGATGGAAGCTCCCTGAACTTGAAGCTCTGACCATGATATTCTGGCTCACAAAGCTGTCAGTCATCCTTAAATCAGCTGACTAAGGTGGACTGATTCCAACAAGTGATTGAATTATTTAAACATTTTCAAATATGCCTTATAGGAGCAACTTTACACTTACGTTACTTTACATTTTATTCTTCACTTCATGTTTTACTTATTTCACAGAAAAGGCCTCAGTGCTCAAGAGAACTTTAGAGAAAGGCTGACCCGTCCTATTTTGAGGCTAACACGGTGGCTAAACTCTGAAATGAATACAATTGAAGCCATGTTTCAGCGCTCACGTCATACGTGCATAAATATTTTCACAAACACAAGTTATGAATCAGACAAACATGCATCAGCAGGGTGTGTGACAGACGGCATGCTGGGAAGTCGTGTCCCGCCCAACTTACTTCGATGGTACTGTCCAGTGACCCCACACTGTTCCTACGACCCCGCTTCCCTGTCACCCAATCAGAACGAGGCAGGTTAAAACGTGGTTTCACATGCATTCTTCACTCAGTGTAAACACAGTTTTTTCCACTCTTTGATCTGTATGATGTCATGAAAAGGGAATACCCTTATATGGTCATCACCTACACCTTCTTCCTGCTGTTCAAACTTTTTATTAATGAGGCTGACCAACCTGATATTTACATACTTATGCATCAGTGCTAATTAACAGAAGGCTGTATTACTTGTATTGGCTGATTAAATCACAGCAGTAAACCACACAGTTTCCACAGTAACTTTTTGCATTTTCATGCTGTAGTTCCTACAGTTATCCAGCAGGGGGAGACAGAGCACCTAGCATTACATCAAACTTCCATCTTACAGGCATTTTACCATTTTAGATTTCATCAGTTGCATAAGAGCACAGGTTTGCTCTGACTCGATACATCATACTAAAAACCTGGAGCTGCAGAACTTCTGTCGCAGAACAGGCAGAGCGAAAACCACACACATCTGTAACATGTGAACAAGGTGAGCCTCGCATCGTACACCTGTCCTCACCTGTCTCTGAGAGGTCTCTGAGCGACGAGCTGAGTGCCGTGCGCTTGAGTCCGTCCACTGTTGCGTACGTGTCGTCGAGGCTCGGCCTTCCCAGGGTACCGTTCACCACCTCACTCTTTAAGGTTCCTCCACCGCTGTTTGCCCCGCCTCCTTGAGTGCCCATGCCTCCCGGTCCTCCCCCTGTCAACACGCCAGGACGCATGACGCCTTTCTGCTTCTCGAGCTCAGCTGAAAGGAAAAAAGAAAATCAGGAAAGCTGTCATTAACGACAACTCACTGGATCGCTGTTCACTGCAGATTTGGAATCTACTGCTGGTGAAGTCAGGCGTGGAAGCTTGAAAGGCAACACATGCAGGCTAAACAATGCATTTATAACACTGAAATATTTGAATTTGCACATAAATAACTGAATTATAAGGCTGGAGCCACAGTGTCAGCAGTAAATTTCACCCATCTATTTTCTGCCCCTTATCTTGGGGTGTGGGCAGGCCTAAGCAGAGATGCTCTCCCTGTCAGACACCAGAGTGCTCTCAGCTGGACATGCCTGACACCCTCACCTAGGACGCGTGGAGGAGGAATTCGATGTGTAGAAGGAGCAGCTCTTTCCTAAATAGCCGAGCTCCTCACACTGCCTCTAATTAAGAACCCAGAAGTACGCCACTCATATTCTTCTGCTCACTAGCCGCAGCTTGAGTCCACAGACGAAGGTCTGAATGTAGATCGATCGGTAAACCGATAGCTCAGCTACCTCTTCACCACAACAGGCAGGTACAGCATCGCTGCAGACACCACACCAATCAATTTGTCAATTTCCTGCTCCCTTCCTCTCTCAGTAGTGAACAAGATTGAGATACTTGAGCTCTTCCTCATCCTGGGGGAGCAACTCATTCCTTGGCTGCTGAAACCAGCAGCAAAAGAACTTCAGAAACCCCAAGGACAGTCCACGCTGATGCTGGGAGGTGTTGTACTCGCAGACATATGGATGCTAAAATGCTAAGATGAGTTGACAGATATAATTGTTTGGCTGTTAATATATATGTGAGCAGCCTGCCAAAGTGAAGTCTGTGTGTGGGAAGTTCTTCATGTACCGTGACTGCTGGCAACCGGCCTGAACTCTAATGGTATAACAATTGATGTATTATTAGCTGCAGTGAGCACAAATCCAGAAGAGAAAAGAAATGAGAAAACAGATTCTGAAAATAGTCTTCCGCCAACGGCACACCCTGTCCTAAGCCCCGCCCACAGTGCATACTCCAAATCAGCTCATGTGGAACCCCGCTCTCCAGACTCAAAGCTCTACTGGAACTCCTCCGCTGTGTATGAAAACACCTGTGATTGGCCACGGTTTGTCTAAAGCCTGTGAGCAGAGCCCAGACGAGGTGCAGAAAAATGGTTATTTAAACAAAAAATACATAAAAATTGTCCAATGAAGCGACTTTAATTAAATATTATTTGTACCTGTGCAGCAGACACGCTCAGAGTAAAGTATCTGGTTCTGTCCCTGTAACGATCACCGCTAACAGCTTTTAAAGCTACAACCACGTCCACCACAACCTTTGTGTCCACTGCTGGTTTCAGTACTGCTTTGTGTAATTATCCTTCATTTAAGGTCCCACTGAGCCTCCCACTGCTGTGACAGGAACACTTACACTCCACCCTGTACTTCTCCATTTCCTGGACCTCTGCGATGCTCTCTCGGAGGTCAGAGGTGAAACGTGCTCGGTCCTGCTGGCTCGGAGCGTTGAAGACGATCAGAACCTTCCTCTCTCCTCCGGGGTTCGCGGACGTCAGCCGGATACCGTGAGGATAATCTGAGTGAAACACAACACAAAGACATTCAACCTCATTAGTCCTCTGATCTCTGGATGGTTGGGGGTTAGAAAGATGATTGTTGATTAACTTGAACTATAATAGTTTCCTAAAAAGTAAAAGGACCCCCAAATTTTGCAAACACCAGCCACTAGATGATTGTTAGCATTTGGCGCACCTGTCAGCAACATCCGGTTAGATTTGCGTAATGCTAGTGTAGCTCAAATGGTCTCAAAGTATTTAAAGAGGACATTTTGCCACGCCCTCTATTTTCGCTCTCCTCCTTTATGTTTGATTACATGATTGGTGGCGCGTACCCTGGAGCTGGGACGGAGTGCCACCAGCTGCAGCTGTTTCAGCCCAGCTCACCAGCACAATGTCATCTCTGCATCAGCAGTCAGTCCTGGTTCGGCCGTCTGTTGTTATCTCTGCTCCTGAGAATTCTGTTTAATCGCTCATGTTTCCTTTTGTCTGCACTTCTTTTGGTTCACCCACCTCCAGTTTCCAGACCTGCTTTGTCCTTTCGATGCTCTTCCCTGCTTCATTCTAACCCGAGCCCCAGCTTTGGTCTCAGTCTCAGGCTCTCACTTACAAATCCAAAGCCTAACTCCCAGTTTTCCATCCTCCATTTCTAGCTCCTTGGTATTTTCTCTGCTAAGCTAACACCAGCCCAGCTCCTCACAGGCTCTTTGTCAGCTTCCTTGCCGTGTCTAATAAACTGTCAGTAACCTGTTTGGGGTTCAGACTGCCTCTTTCTCACGTTTTTTTGTGATATTTTTTTTCTGGTGTTGATAAATGGTCAAAATATGTAAAAGAGAGAGTGATTCAAATGAAAAAGAAAATACCTGCAACTCAAATCTGAAGTGATGATCGTGGAGGCAAGAAAGACGCTGCTGCACGCCCGCGTGCTTCAGGGGGAGCAGAGTGTCTTTTCTTCTTTTTTTGGATGTGGATATTTTTTGGAGACACAGTGGAGAGGCAGGTTACATGGCCTGCTGTGAACAGAACTCAGTGGCTGCAGTATAACATAAATAAGGTTTCCCTGCAGAGCTGAGAATAGGAATATAACTCTGATGAAGAGCACAGTAACGCTCCCTGAAAGAGGAGTTCATAGTGGGAGTCTAATCTAAGGGACATTTCATCCAGAAGGATGGATCCATTCAATTTTTTCCCTCAAATCCTTCCTCACATCTCCAAGCTCTGCAAATCAAACAGATGTAATGTACGCCTCAACGTGTATGGATGGAAAGCCGGAGGCAGACATGCATTAAAAGGAGGAGCTGGGGTGGAGGTGGGTTCCAAAGTGGCTTGCAGATGTGCAGCAACTGTATGCATTAAAGCGCGTTTTATGTTGTATTGTTTTATCTGCTTGGATTGACAGTTGTACAGACCCTAAACTTTGTTCAGTAATGAAACTGAAGTAATTTAACAGCCTGTACTTTGAAAATAATGAATTGGTATTTGGAGCAATCTGTGTTATTTCAATTTCATCAGAAAACAGTGTGCTGATCTCTGAGCCTCACCCCTCCTCACGGGCGGCATTAATCTGATTGAGAAAATAAGATTTGTGTACACGCACACACAAACCTTCCTACCTGCCTCCCACGCGACGTGCGCACACACAAACACACGCACCCACGCGGCTGATGCATGACTGCGCTGATGAATCACATGGGACAATCTGTCCTGGTCGCAGTCATCAGCGCCCAAGACCCATTTAGCTCCAACTGGAGAACCAGAACTGTCAGCAACAAAAAGCACCAAGTGAACGAGCTCCGAGGCGACACTGGAACGACCGACTTATACGTGACACAATGTAATGTGATGCAATCCAGTCAAATACAGCGTAAGGAACAGAAGACAGCTCAAAATATTATCATCTCTGTCTCACGAAACCTACAGCCAACAGTCTTCTTTCTTTTTCAGAAGGCTGCCAAAGTTTAGTTTTAGCCATGATGATGCTGAGAAATAAAAATAGGACATCTTTATATCATGTGTTTATTGAGACTAGGATGTCATGGCTGTGAATCAGTTACCTTAATGTTCATCACAGCAGCTCATGAGACTGTCCAGTCCTGCTTTATGGCTGGAAATATGATGTGAGAGCAAACCAAGAATCATCAGCTTTCTTACAGCTTTGGTTTGATTACTCCCCCTGGATATTCTTCTTGTCTAGTACGGCTTTAAACTGATAGCTTGTTGTTGTTAAAGAACCTTTCACTCTGAAACCTAAACTGAATTAAAATGAAATAAAAACAGAAGCTAAAGAAAATGAAAACCCTGGAACTCTATTCTTCACATCTCTGGTATGGAACAGTTGGTTAAGTTAAGGAAAAGATTCAAATAGACTCTAACATAATGCTGACCACAGGTTTGAAAGCAAATGTCTCACATGATCACAAGTATTTGTCTGTGTAAAGAGCTCCTTTAACTCTGTGAACCATACAAATGGCTGTTTGTGCCATGATTAGTAGCACTGCCGGACACATCACAGTGGTCTGCCACAAGAAACACACTGCAAAGACCCACACCACTGCCAGGTGAGAGCAGAAGAGATGAGAAAGCCGAGCATTGAGAATGCGGCTTAACCTGTGACTCTGCAGAGGTTGTTTCAGAGTTAATGTGAGTGTGTGGAGCAGGCTTCATCCATGTGTGCCGGCACAGTCTCAGAGATAATCTTATGGCTCCCTACAGGTATGTAATGTCCCTGTTAGGTAAGCCACGAGTTTGTGGGCGGCTCTGCTACATAATAAACAACCTCTTTCTGAATTTGAACTCTCTCTCTGAGCGAGGCTTCCTGTTAACAGGTGCTCAGGCAGATCTGAAACGCCAACAGCTCCAATCTGCTGCATGCAACTGAGAGCCAATTCATCTCTGAAGAAGTAGAGTCTTGGAAAACATGCACACTTGTGTCAGGAATGACAGGAGATTGCATAATCGTGAGCTGTGCAGAGGCGCAGTCTGATTTTACCCAAGCAACACAGGAGGATTTCTATTATATCAGGAATGCTCCCGAGAGCGAATGAAGCTCTGTGGAGCTGTGGGATACACAATGGCATTTTGGGGGGGTAATCTTTTTTTTCTGATGACGTCATGGCAACAGCCACGGTAAAGCCTCCATGATGTGAAGCATACAGCCTCCTCAGAGCATCACCTTCAACCACCACCAGCAGCTGCTTCTTATACACGAATGTTTCTGCTGTGGTTTCACAGACACTCCCACTGTCTCGTTAGATTTTTTATTTTTAACAAGGTACAACAGCTGTCTCCTTTTGTAAATCCTTAATGGACCAATCGGTATGCATTAGCATGAGTTATCTTCTAATGCTGCTGAGGAAGGACTGCTCAGTGACATTTGACAGACTGGATAGTTAAAGCTTACATGTTATGGACCTCATTTATTTTAGCGTCTTTGAGCAAATGTGATGCTGGGGTATGAAATTAAAGTACACTAATATTTTGTTTATTTAGATGTTGCATGAAATTGCTAGGCAGGTTAACTATACCGGATGGTGGTACTGTGGTAATGTTTAGTAATGCACTCTGTGGGACTGGTGCAGAGCAGCTGTGGTGTTCATGGTCAGTGACATGAACACCACAGCTGACAGCACAAAGTTCAATTAAATTTAAGATGTTGATGCTTACTAGATGATGCTTACCCTAATCAAAACAAATAGGCGCCTCAAGGTGCTTCATATTGTATGTAAAGACCCAACATTAGCACAGAGAAAACCCCAGCAATCAGATGAGCAAGCACTTGACGACAATAGAAAGGAAAAACTCCCTTTTGACAGGAAGAAACCTTTGGGCCATCTGTGACAGTTGGGGGTGATGTGGAAGAAGAGCCACGAGAGTCTGTGTAATATCTGTTTGCATGTTGCTGAAATCAGTTGGTTAGATGCCCTTTGAAGAGTACTTTACTCTTTTCCTTTTGTACTCTGATTACAGTTCAGCACCTGTACTTTTTCTCATGTAGTTCAGTAAAAAAGTTGAATCAGTACTTCAACCTTCAGCAGAATATTTGTCAGGACAAGTACCTGCACTTTTATATGAGTGTTTATTTTGGCCACCTCTGTCAAACAGGGTTAATGTTGTAAAGTGGCACATTTTAATCCAAACAATCTTTTCTTGACCAAATCGAGTGGTTTTTACTGTCTAATCATAACTACTGACTGAAAGCAGAAATAAGAGACCGACCACAGTGGTTTAGCTGTTATGGCTGTGATTTATGTTACAGTGTTCTCTGTAAAACAGGACTACTGTCCCTCAGACCAGTACTGTAGCAGCCTGTACGACAGAGAGTCACCAAAGGATGCTCGGTGTGCAGCTGGACACCTCTGGGGCTGAATACATCCAAACACTGTAAAATATCCAACCTTATACAAATAAAGAAAGAAAGACATTTAAAGCCTGACACAAAAAGCTGTGAGGTGGGTTACTTTTTATAACTCGGATATCTGGTTACTGGAGTTATGGGTGCAGCCGCTTACACTGACAGACTTCCTCACTGTCATGAACCTTTCCGTCCATCTTCGTGCAGTTGGTCTCCTCTGGAAAATAGTTTAATGTAGTTTTCTTACAAATAATACGGCTTACAGTGTCACCTATTAGCTCGTTTACTGTTTGCACACTTTTAATTTGAAGATGATAACTGCCGGCTCCAACAATAAATAAATAAATGAATAAATAAACAACAAAATGCTAGCACTGGGGATTCAAAATGTTCAAAAAGTGTGAGCCACATGGTTGATTCCATAATCTGAGGACATCAGGAAACCCCAGTGCACGCGCGTGAGACACGGTGTGGATTTGTGCCCTTTTAACTGCACCCAGCAGTGGTGGTGGTGTAGGCACTTCTAGGTGCTTCTACATCACTTAGCTGTTAAGATCCATTTAATGGCTTCAAATGAGACTTTAGTTTTGTGTCAGCTGAGATTTTGTGGGAGGTTCTGCATCGTTTCACGTACATATTTATACATACAGGCTCTTTGAGAGAAAGGGGTGGGTATGTAATTTCAGAGCCGAACTCTCTCTCTGAGTGAGGGATCCTGTTAACAGGCGCTCAGGCAGATTTGAAACACCTCCAACTCCAATCTGCTGCGTGGAGCTGAGAGCCAATTCATCTCTGCTGAAGAAGCAGAGGCTTGGAAACCACACACGCCCACACACACAAACAAACATAACTCTATAGGACTGTGTTAACGTTGTTATTGAAAAATGTTTTGAGAAACGTTGTCAAGCAGCCTCGTTTTCAGGTTGACAGACGTATATTTAGGAAATCCTGTGATGTGCTTCCACCGTTCCTTTCAAACACGGCTTGTGTTGTTGGTGCTGTGCTGACTGACGGTGTCTGTCTTTTAAAGAAACGGCTGGCAGATCATTGTAATTGGAAAAGGAAGTAAGATAATCTTTTGCCAAGTGATTATTAACAGATTGTTGAGAATATTTCCAACTAGGACAGAACCTCCAATTTTTGTTTTTTATATGAAATCCAAGAGAAAGTGTCCTGCTCGTACCAAGCGAAGGCACGTGACGTGAAAAACACAGCCTGTCGTGTAAATGTTGGTCAAGCTTTTACAAAGGAGCTGCAGTTTTAATTATTAACCCACTGAATGCATAAGAAATAAGAACATGTTCTTTTGTGTTTTGACTGCCATATCTAAGCCATTATTAACTTTCAGGTAAGTTAATGTATTTAATGTTTCCCCTTTTTCGACTCGCTGACATGTATAATATGTATTACCCACCTGACGGCTGTGTCTGGATGTTTTATGGCACCAAACTGCAAAAACTCACCTTCACAAGTCCAAAGGATGAGAGAGATGTAACCTAAAGACGGCATTTGTGGCTGGTTGGTTCAACACTTGTGAAATGCCCCAACAGACACCAGATGTATTGTGATAATGTTAAAGATGGATCCTGATGAATTCCCGTGACTCCGTCATTTGGGACGGTTTTTATTTGAAGCATCGCAGACATGCTGAGTGACACAGGCACCTCGCAGGGTGACGTCTCGTCTCCTTAAACCCTCCTTGTGGATATGCTGTTACCAGATCGCTACACGTAGCTACGCTGCAGCTTTCCGTCCCCTCAGACTGTACACACAGCAGCTGTACAGCCCTTGAGTACTAACTCTGCATCTGTTAAACCTCTGTGAACCTCCTTTACATTCTGCCATGAGTACAGCGATAACACAATGAGAACCTGCAGCCGTGTAGCCTCGTCCGTTAGCATGGACAGAGAGTCTGACATTATGATCAAAGAAATCAAGAAAGCTTCATTTTGAACTCAGCTGGTATTTTACTGTAGCTGATACCTCCAATATAAGGAAATGGAGACACATTAGTTTAGACTTTCCACATTTTTTAACGTTTTCAGTTCCCATATTCATAACTTTTATTTTTATTTCTTAAAACATGAAGTTAACTAGGAGGTATTTGCTTACTGAAGCAACTAACACTTTCTCCATTTCCCCTGCAATCAGCGATACCAAATTACGTAGGACGTTCTTGGAAAGAGACCTGCAATTATGTGAAAAGCTGCCACAAAATTAGCAGGAAGTTGCAGGACTTGTAAAGTAAACCGTTGTAATTCTACAGAGATTCAGCATGTTCAGATTCAGAGTTTCTCATAAAGAACAAAGTATTTGAGTAGCTCGACAACAGCAGCATCTTTTTCAGTGGGATGTCAAAAATATGCTTGGAAATATCCTTAAATCGAGCAAAGCACTGAGAAATGAGCTGGCAAATCCATACAGACAACACGTGTGCAGCGATCAGGGTATTCATATATTTACAGCACCATGTGTTTCATGCATGTGTGACTGTTTTCAGTGCGCCTGCTGACTGCTGGGTAAAAATAGAGTCAAGCAAGTACAAAAAAGAAAAGGAGACATAGAGACTAAAACGAGAGAGGCGGAGGAAGATGGATGAGAGGAGGCAGCAGAGAGCAGTACTTACAGGTGTTTTGGAAAGTGTGGACCTGCATGTCGACCAGAGGAAACGATTGTCTGAAGCTGTACGTCACAGAAGTCTTCTTCTTTTGGAAGATCTTTGTCACCTGAGGAGGAGGAATTAAAATAAGGGAAAAGAAGGTAAAGAAGTCCTGCGTGAAAATACACACAAACACCAAAACACCGACAGGTACTGTGTCGAAAACAAGCAGATGTGCATCTGTAAAAAAGTTTAAAAAAGAAACAAGTGAAAAGAGAATATAATTAAAATCTCTCCGTGGGAAGCTCCTGGTGACTGCAGACACAAAACACTGTCTTCCCTCAGAGAGTTCAAACCATAACCAGCGAGTGAAGACTAAACGAATCAGCGAGTGGAGAAAAACGAAGGTCAAAGGTCGAAATCTAAACCAAGCTCTCCCAGCTGATAAACCTGGGGCCTGTCTCAATGTGCGTACTTGTGTTCTCGTGATACGGCATCAGTCGGAGACCAAGTACTGCTCCAATTCGAAGTACGCATCAAGCCGAGAACGCGAAAAAGTCCCGGATGTGTTCTCCGCCCGTTTTATCGAGCATGCATCGGTGGTGACTTGTGTGGACTTGGTACAGCTAAATATCCCAGAATGCATTTCGTCCAAAACTCAAACGCGGCAATGGCGGACGTTTAAATATTACTCTTTCTGGGTCACAAAATAAACTTTTAAGTTATTTTCAAGCGTGTAAACGTCAAATATCTGCTCGATTTATCAAGATATCATATATTTCCAAACGCGCTCCGATGTTTTCGGAGACATCCGTGACCCGCCAGCTCCATAGCAGACAGCGAGGTCGAGGATCACTAGAGCCGGCGAGAACAGCGGACTCCCGGCACATCGTTTCCAACCCCCCCGCGGTCTTTTTGCTACTCAGGTTAAACAAACCCCAGCGGCTGTCTATTGTATTGAGTGTCCACTACAATAAAAATAAAAGCGTTCTAACATCTCACCTGCTTGTTTTTATTAAGACATACATGTACACTATTTTTATTAATAGAGATTTCACTGCTGAGGTTAAACATGATATATAAGTCACGATTAAATCGGTTTGGCTGTGATTAAAGTTCAGCTTCATAACGTATTACTCACAGTTAAATTAAGAGGGGACGGCAGTAAAAACTGTGACATCATCAAGTACGCTGGTCTTCCAATTGTACAAACTGCGAGTCCGTGCTCGCATTCTCGGCAAGTCCGGACTCGCGTACTTGAGAATTGAGAAAGGGCCCTGGACTTCTTACTGATTTTGCTTCAGCTACTGAATCTTAGCAGCACTGCCTAAAAACATAACAGCAAAAATCAAGCAGCATCTGACCAGAAAACTGAGAATTTGAGCCAAATACTGAGCGTCTCCTTAGCTGCAGTTTGGTCTCCACTCTCTCCAGTTCAGCTGCACTCGCTCACTCGACTCTAAACTCTGCAGTTTGCTGCTGAGCAGGTTGTTGAAGCATGCATGACGAAAACAGCGGAGAAAACCAGAAACGTAAAGTCTCAGTGGAGAAACATGAGACCCGATGGGTAAAACTCGCTGACAAATCCTGTTTTTTTTGGTCTTTTCTCGTAAAGTCACGCTGTCAGACTTCCTGACATTTCTGGAGCACTTCTTAAACATGAGCAGGGCATTATGGGATAAAATGGTGCTCCAGTGATGCAAAAATCCTTTCATCTCACATGTGAGTGAATCTTAAGGTTGTGCAAGAATCGGTGGTCACACTGGTCCTTAAATGGTGCAATAACCAAACACACACTCTGCAAAGTCACACTAAATGACTCTGTTTTCCACTAAATCCACAGCTGACGGACCAGAAGCGCAACGCAAACTGAAACCTAACCTTGGTTTAGATTTAAGTGAGTTGTTCTGGTGACTTTATATCCCTGTGAGAAGCAAAAGCACATGTCACACACAGAGTGCATCGTTTACCATAAGCAGGTCGTTGAACAGGAAGACTTCTCTCTGGTGGACGCCGCTCCTCTGAGCTCTGTTTGGATCGGGAACCTCGAACAGCTGACAGCAGCACACCAACCTGCGATGAGGCAGCGACAGCACCTGCAACACACACACAGACAGACACACACTTCTGTGACCTGCCCTGTATCAAAAGGTTATTATGTACTAAAAAAGAGGCAGAGATAAAAAAAAAAGAGCATAATTGTAGTTAAATGCAATGATTTATGTTAAAGCATGTCGGATTTTTGATCTCTGAAATGTGACTGAATGACTGTGTGAGCAGATTTATGTCCCTGCAACATAAAATCAACTATATTCTCGTGCACAACACAGATAACATTCCTGACACTGATGTGGGACCTGCAGAGTCACATTGTCAGTGGACTGAGTGATAACTCAAGACTACGGATGGTGGAACATACACAGTTTTATCCTGTCACTTAAAAAGTCATTATTGATGCCACTTTAGTTATTTATAGCTATGGTGTTGTAATGATAACAGTAATTACATCTAATTACATTAAAGTATCAAGCTGAAACTGATACTGAAATCCTACAGCGATGAAATCCATGAAACCTGTTCAAACACATGCAAAGGATCCATCCATCCATCCACCCGTCCATCCGTCC